CAATCAACACCTATGGAAGCAGCAGTCAAGAATCAAAAGACACATTGCATTGGGCAAATCTGCTGCAAAAGACCTCTTTAAAGTGTTGAAAAGCAAAGATGTCACCTTCAAGACTAAGATGTGCCTGACAGAAGCCATGTGTTTTCAGTCACCTCATATGCATGCAAAAGCTGGACGATGAATAAGGACGACTAAAGAAGAATCGATGCCTTTGAATTGTGGTGTTTGCAAAGAGTTTTGAATATACCATGGACTGCCAAAAGAATGAACAAATCTGTTTTGGAAGAAGTACAACCAGGATGCTCCTTAGAAGCAAGAATGGTGAAACTACATCTCACATACTTTATCAGTTCTTGGAGAAGGACATTATGCTTGGTAAAGTAGAGGATCAATGAAAAAGAGGAAGACCCTCAATGAGATGTACTGCAAAATGGCTGCAACAATGAGCTCAAGCATAACAACGACTGTGAGAATGGCAAACAACTGGGCAGAGTTTCATTCTGTTGTATACAGGGTCACTGTGAGTCGGAACTGACTCAACAGCACCTAACAACAACAACAGGCACTGAATTATGTCTCTAAAAAAATGTGTTGGAATCCTAACCCCTACACCTGTGGATGTAATCCTACGTGGGAATAAGGTTTTCTTTGTTATGTCGAAGAGCCCACATCAGCGTAGGGTTAGTCTTAAACCAATCAACTAATTACTTTTGTGATAAAAACGCAACAGATAAGGCATAGAAGCAAGCAAACACACATGGGGGAAGATTTGTGCCAGGCCACATGAAGATCATCAAGGAACAGATGCTGAAAAGAGACAAAGACCTTCCCCCAGAGCCAACAGAGAGAGAAAGCCTCCCCCTAGAGCCAGTGCCCTGAATTTGAACTTCTGGCCTCTTAACTGTGAGAAAATAAATTTGTTTGTTAAAGCCACCCACTTGTGTTATTTCTGCTACAGCAGCACTAAGAAACTAAGATGGGGTTGTCAACAAGACTCCATAAATGTGTGCTGAGCTGAGCAGACTGCAGCGCAACAGTGGTGACCCGTGAGATGATCTCAATGGTGTGAGACTAACCGTCTGACGTGCAGGCAGACGCTGTCAGTCTGTCCGCCTATCTGCAAGTAAAAGCATAGCTGGGCCGTTTCAGCAAACAACCTGCCAAACTGAATTTTACGTGGCCAAACAATTTTAAACAAAAGTAAAATACAGTTAAATAATGCTGCAAACACAGGTACTCCTTAACTTAAGTATACCCATGCACAGAAAAGGTCAATGGGCCACTGAACAGTTGTCCAAGTTACCACCCCTTCTCCCTGGTGAAGATCATTTAACAGAGCCCACTGAAGGCAGATGAGACAAAGTCCCACACCTCCAGTGGCCTTCGGCCCAAGTCGCAGTGTGGGAGTATTCTGAGGACTGAGGGGAGAGCCCAGGCAGCAGTACTGGAGTATTCTGAGGGTTGCAGGGAGGCCCCAGGTGGCAGTACTGCAGTATTCTGAGGACTGATGGGAGAGCCCAGGCAGCAGTACTGGAGTATTCTGAGGGTTGCAGGGAGGCCCCAGGTGGCAGTACTGCAGTATTCTGAGGGTTGCAGGGAGGCCCCAGGTGGCAGTACTGCAGTATTCTGAGGACTGAGGGGAGAGCCCAGGCGGCAGTACTGCAGTGTTCTGAGGATTGAGGGGAGAGTCCCGGGCGGCAGTACTGGAAAGTATTCTGGGGATTGCATG